TGGCAAGCGAGCAATGCCGACGGGCAAAGCAATGCCTTTCGGTCAATGGTAGTTCATCTACCAATGCTATGAAGCACTTAGAACATGAACGTTCTTCAATTAAGACGGAAACGACGGAGGGAAGCAAGCGACATAAGGTAGAGGCGGTCAATGCTGCGAAGGCCTCCGCTCTTTTTAAGGATGGCCCGAAACGCTTCTACGAAATGGTATGGACTCGTCTAGTTATAACGAAGCCGCTACCTTTAGGCTTCTGCGAGGATGACAAGTTTCAGCATTTCACTAAATGCAGTGAATAACCTATTGGCAAACATCGACCCACGCGCAAGAGACTTCATCATTTGATTCTTGAAGTATATCACGCTACGAAAGAGGGTTTTAGGGTCGATCTAAGGAAAATCAAAGCTAGCTGCCCTTTGCCAAAATTTCATCTGAACGTGGATCTCTGGACCTCGAAGACCTCTAAAGACAAATATGTCGGGATTCAAATCATCTTCGTGGATGCTAAATGGCGTATGAGAACTTCCATTCTCGCTATAAAGCTCTTCTGCCCAGGATCGGTGAAATACAAGAGCTCCCGGTTATCAGAGGTCCTTTATTCATGGGTCATAGATTTTCTCGCAGATTTCGGCCTTTTGCCCTCGGATATTACTGGGTCTACATCTGACGGAGGAGGTGATATAAGGCGCTTGCAATCAAAGCTCTTAACGACAGCTTTTTGGGAGAGGTATGTGCCTCATCTGTCAAACTGCGCTCTGCAATAATCATACGGGACAAATTTGGATTCAAGCAACGTTGGGAATATAGAGTGCCGAGAGACTCTGCAGAAGATGCGTAGTGTCATCACCTGAACAAGTCGCCACAGGGGAAACAGCGATTTTATGAGATCCAGGACTAGTTGCTAAATACATCTTTAGCTGTCATCAGCTATGCCCCTCATCGTTTCTTAAGCCTCACCAAAGTTGTAAAGCGCTTCTTGGAGCTTTGGGATCCGACATACAAGTACTACGATGAAAGGTCAAAGCCCTCCAACCGGATGTCGTCTTTGAAGGAGGAGTTGAGGCAACTCTATTCCCTCATTGCCCCGGTGGGAGTGCTGATGCCAGAAACCCAAGGTTGCAGCAAGCTCAGTGGTGCCCTCGCTCTACTTGGTCTTGTTGGTCTCCAGCAGAAAACACTATGTCAGCCGCAGCTCCTTTGCAAGTCAAAAATGGTGAGACCAAGGAGGACGCATTCTTTGTAGAACACCATATGCTGGAGGAGACTGAGCGGAATACCAGGAGGCTGATGGAAAAGGCTCAAAGAAGCGATTCTTTGTCCGCTACGATCCCGAGCTGTTTCTCGAGACTTCAACGGAGAAAGACAAAGCCAAATGGCCACATTCTACGTCTTTGAAATGGCTTGCGCTCTTACCCCCAACCTGACAGGGCTACATTTTCTTTAGTTGGTAATTGACAGCCTTTACGAAAGAAGAACCTCCGAGCAACAACGGACAAAGCTAGCTGACGCAGTGAAGAAAACTGTCTGGGACAAGATTAGAGCAATGGCAATCAGAGCGGCGACGAAGCTATCATCCGCAGGTGGTGCAGGGTTTGAGGCAGGGAACACTCAAAAGGATGACCTTTGGGGGGGCAAAGGTACGAGCTCTTCCGTTGGTATTCAGAACGCAGGAGTCACATCATCAGCAGCAAGCAACGTGCGGGCGCCCAGGAAGTGCTTGGTCTCAACACCAAACCTCTTTAAGGGCCTCTTTGATAAGAGAGCTTCAGTGGCAGGCAATACCTCAGTCGGAGGTTCTTTGGAGACTTTACTTGATGAGGAGATAGAAAGCTTTCTGAAGTTTAACTGCGGGCTGGTGATGCCGCGTGACTTTGAGCCTCAGGATGTGCTGGTTGGGTTCTGGATGAAACAACAGGGCAGATTTCCTCACTTCGCTGCAGTTGCTAGATGTATCTTTGGAAATCCTGCTTCAGATCCGGGTATTGAGCATGATTTTGGAATCGCTGGTGTGCTATTGAATCCACGAAGAACCAACCTTGACACCTTGGGACGATGTCCCACTCATTGATTTCAAGGAGGTACAGCAAACGGCAGGAGGATGATCGAAGTTTGTTCCAAAGCGCTATACCACAGCAGCTCCAGCCGAATCATCATCCTTGAATGAGGCGGACGATGAGAATAATGCGAAAGCTGATCGGATCTTTACAGCGGAGGATATCGAAAACGGCTTTGACTTTTTCATAGCAGGCAGCATGGATGATGATTAACTCTACCATGATGAAATACGAGCAGTAGTGGTAGCAGCCAACTAGCCCTTCAGCATCGCATTTGATTAAAGAAGAGAGCTGATTATTGAGATCACGTAAATGCTGCTACTTGTCTTACTCGGAAATTTTTTTATTATCCTTGTGCTCACTGTTAAGGATCAAAGTATTGATAAATCACACTGTTGTACAAGGGTTTAGGCTTGCACCCGCGCTTGGTCAGTAGTATAAAGAGGAGAACGCAAGAGGATAGCATCATCATGATGTTCATCTTCTTGTTGCGACAATGATAGATTTGAGGAGACGAACGATAGGAAACAACAATAATTGGCTGTTCTGACTGACCTTCTCACTCATCGTGCTCCATCTTCTTTGCTCCGTTCTTCTTCTTCTTCCTTACTTTTCCATTCTTACTTCACATTCACCTTACGACTACTTTTTCCGTTAGCAACAAGCAAACAACACGATCATCATAGAGAAAAATTGCTGGTAATAAATGTGTACCTCGACACCACCTCTTGCTATGACGGACCCTATTAATTACCTCTTCTCTGCTTCTCCTTTTTCTTCTGCTACTACTTCATGGTGGTGCTGGATTATCTCGACGATCAGTAAATAAGTAATAAAGCAGCAAACAAGAAAATTGGCTAGAAGAAAGTCAGTAGGTGAAGATAGAAGAAGAAGAAGAATCCTTGCTACAGAAGGAGAGGGAGGGAAGACGCACCTGCTGCAGATAGAAGCAGCGAGCGAGGGCAATTAAGCCTATGATGTTGTGACTAATGACGTTGATGATGATGATTGGTGATGGCGCGTGGTTGGTTTGCTGGATAATGTAATGGGTAGTAGCTAACATACAAGATTCGACGAAGGACTTTAAAGGTCTACACAATACTTCTTGTGGGCGCGCGCGGCTGCCTACTACTGCTGCTGGCTGGATACTCATGCAAGTACTCATGATATACTCATAGGTTTACTCATAGACAGTCAGCAATTTACTCGTGCAGTACTCATAGACGTCTCTAAAAGAACTCATCCCATGAGTACCGCTGCGGAAAGCATGTATGAGTAACTCGAGTACTTTGTACTCATCCATGACTCATAAGGACCTCCCTATGAGTACATGTTACTCATAGGCCATAAATTAACTCGAGTAACGAAAAATGTACGATACTAACCCATACTCACCCATCCCATGGGTAATTACCCAATACTCATCCGGTCTGTGGACATTTCTACCAGAAAGGTTTTGCATCACTTCTTTTGTGTATACAACACCCACAAGAAATGTTCAAGCAAATTGGCACTGAATCAGCTCGCACAGTCAAAATCCATTATGAATTACCGATCTGGGATGGATAAAATTGCGGGTGTGTCTTATGAAGCTCGCAGGTATGTGGAAAATGTGGAACTCTCTAAGTATGCTGGCAGCTTTTCACGGCAAAAGTTTCAGCCACTATACCGTTAACATTTGTGAGTCTTTGGGTGCTACATTTATACTTAAATGCAGCATGCTACTACGTGTTCAAGCCTTAAAATTCTTTTCATTCGCGTTTTGAGATTGCTGAATTTGCAATGGGAATTTGATCGAACAATCGTGTAGAAAATCATGTAAATCGAAGCAGGAGTAGACAAAGTTATCTTATTGCTGCAATGCGTCGCCAGATTTTCTGCTGCTCCTTTTTTGGTACCACATTCTCAAAAATAATGAATATTGTAAACCTGGAGGATTTCGAGCATAAAGCCATTAATTCTAAGTCTCTTGATCTTTCTCAGCCATAACAGACACATGTTTTGATGAGTCTAAAGCAAAGTCAACAGTCATTATCTCACTACAGTGAGCACTATAAGATAGGCGATACTGCTGTAGCGATCTGAGGCGTTGTAGAGGATTGAGCTCTTTGATTTTAGTTGAACAGCACCAGGACCACAAAAGCGTTTGCCAGACACTGGCAGGTTATTTTATTGCAGAAAGAACTGCCAAAAGATATGATGTGGCAGCGGCAGGGGTGTCGATGCACCTTGTACGCCATGACACAGAGGTAACATGACGCAGCGCTTTAGGCACGCTTCGTTATAATTCTACGAAACAACATTGCACGTGGAGACAAAGCACACGGTTTGTTCATGTCGATCTGAAGTTACAACGACGCTACCATACACATCACGCGAAAATCAATACACAAAGGATGGGCCGTCTCACGAATACCAAAATGGGAGCCTAGCACCGTACACTTCATCAACTTAAATTTTCAGATTACGATCTTATAATGAACCTTATACGTAGGCTTTCCTATACATAACATCAAAGCGTATTTGACGCATTGCGTGAGATGCGCGTCCAGCAAAGCTTCTTTTGAAAATTACTCAATGTTATCAATATTCCGACGTGCGTCAGAGCTTCTCAGTGTCGTTATAATCATCACAGCTTCGAACTCAAACTATCGTTTGCAACAAATGTGAACATATATGAGCTCATTATGAGTTTTTTGACGTTTTGTGACCATTCTGTTGAAAATTTGTTCCGTAAAAACGCAAAGCAAACATATGACGGGACGAATCGGAGGGGTAGTGACAATGCTAGAAGTGATTTGTCGTTTCCAATTCACAAACATGGTGCATGTTACAGAAAATTGATCTCGTCATGAACTGAAGTGTCTAAATTTTTTTTGGGGGGCGAGGTAGTCTCCATTGTAAATAAATTGCAAGAAGATTACACGACAAGGAGATCTTGATTTGCGAAATGAGAAGTAGCTTCCTCAGACACAGGCTCGCTTTTGGTTCCTTGGCAACGTGGCAGCTCCAGACTTCAGATCATTTAAAATTTTCATGCGTCGAGTCGATTACTTTAGGATGGTGCTCACCAGTTCCTGCTGCTGTATTTGCAATATTTGACATTTTAAATTGCGTAATAGAGGCCCTGCAGAGCCGAAATCATATGATGACTTAACAGAGACCGACATATCGCATTAAGAGAATGACAGAAGTGGTGATAAATGAGCAGTTGGAGACAGAGATTAGTTGTGAGACCGTTAGACATTAAATCATATCATATGCATCGACCACAGATTTCATAGACGTCCAAGAATTGTAAGCTTATGCCACAGTCAAACCTTCTTGTAAAAAGAATCCAGTAGTTGGTGATAAGAAAGGTAAAACTTTGGTCGCTGGCATTGTAAAAAGAGAGCAGTCGTGCTATTGAACGAAATGTTGCTTCACTGCGGTCTTTTGACGGGGCTTTGCATAACGTATCTCCAAAAGTCCTTGAGCTTAATCTTGTAAAAAAGAGAGCAGTCGTGCTATTGAACGAAATGTTGTTTCACTGCAGTCCTTTGACGGGGCTTTGCATGACGTATCTCCAAAAGTTTTTGAGGTTTAATCTTAAAAATGGGCTCTAGTGGGACCAATAACTTGATTGACACTCGATATCATGCGCGATTTTATTGTGCCGAAGCCAAATATACGGTCAACATATCATTCCTCTTTCGGCCAGTAGGGTGCCCCGCACCATTTTCCGTTCTTACTTCTTATTATAACACAGCACGAAGGTCATGTTCAATCAGCACTGTGTTGATCATTGATCGTTAGTATTGATGCACGGGAATTGTTTTCGATGCCTTTCTGGAAAAATCGTTGCGTTGGTGTACCGCAGAAAAATCATAGGCCCTAAATTGCTAGGTTTGTTCAACCTCGTGAGAAATGTTCACGAGTTTGAAAGTGATTAGAATGCATTTGCAAAAGCCATTGTTTTGCCATGCAAATCGAACAGCCGCGGCTTTGCTGACTAGTTTTGGAGCACCTTAACGAAAGTCGTCACTTGAGTCGATATATCAAGCGTTCTACCGTCAAAACGTGATCCCAATTATTTTTTCATCTGAACTTAAGCGCGGAGTTTCAAGTAAGTCTGTTTTGCACCGAAAAACTTTGTACTAGTTCAGAATTTATTGTGAGGTTGATCCTATGTAAACAGCACATTTGACTCGAAATCGTTAAGTCTTAAGAGGCAATCCTGTTAAGATGCTCGTATGGCAATGGCTAGATGAGATTCTGCATTACTTTCTGATCCTAGCCAAAGCGTTTGGAATTCGCTCAAAGAATGAACACCGCAGCGATATCTTTATATAATTGTTTGTGTCGATCTTTAAGATTTCCAGCGACGGTGCTCCTTAGTATGAGACAACGGCGGGCATACTTCCACTGTCACGATGGTGCACATCGCTGTCACCAAATACGAAAAAGCGACGTCTTCGTAAAAATACCAGCATCAGAGGTTATCTATTCAAGCTAGGTTAATCTCGACAAAGCTGGCTCGCATCAGATACCAGATCACTCATAATCAGGTTTCTGAATATATGGCATTCTATAAAAAGATACCCTAAATACCCTTATTATAAAAATAATAAGTTTTCTAAAATATATTTCGCAAGACAGTCGCCTGTGAATATGTGGTTTTGAAGATTTCATGCCCTCATTATCAACAGTAGTGACATTGTTACAGAAGATGCTGCCGAAGAGCATTCGCACTTAAAACTGTCAAGCAAGGGATCATTCAAATTGCGAATTTCACCGTTTCAACAATTGACAGAATACGGACACTATATTGCTGCTTGAGACCCGGTTTCAGGAGACGTTGTAGCAATAAGGTGCCAATTTTATGTTGTTTTCGGTCGAGAGAGTAACTAAAAGAGACAAGTACCCCCTGGACCTCATTCAGACCAAAAAATATCGCTAGCATAACCAAGCCAACCACCCCACCAAATATCAGGAATATAGCATGCACTCACCTGAGCGAATGAATACATTTTTTGATATGCCAGCTAGCATGATGGCAACAAGATCGATGCTTGTGTGAAGCCAAAATTGCAGTGTAGCGGGTTTTGCCCGTCCGTGTCACGAGTTTACTGAGGAAGACTTTAGTCAGTTAACAAGCTTCACCGTGATGCTCACTTCCAGCTAGCCGTCGATTATTTTGAAAGAGGATAAAATGTGAAGTAACATTTATAATGGCCATTGAGCCTCAAATATTTCTATACGGATCATCGCCTCAGAATTCTGACATTACAGAATTGGGGGTATACAACTTTACAGGCTTCATGGTTAATATTAACTACAAACAAGTATGGCTCACACAACGTATGTAATACCTCCGGCCCACTCCACGCAGGCGTTACATATAGACGGTTCACAAAGACATCGTCGAAGTAATATCCTGCAGCAAATGGAAAAAGCAGACAACCAGCCCCATGCAGCTGGTTGTATTTCTCAATTTACATCAAATAACGACAGCGGTTCATATGAGGTAAACATTTATCTAGATATGTACATTTGCAATGTCTGCACGAGTTGCGCTGCTTCATTTTACAATGTCATGACTGCCCTCAAGGACATGTGGACAATTTATGTTTCCTTTGATGCGTCAGGTGATATTTATAGAATTCCATACATTGATATGAGGATTCGCTTTTTCCAGCATTCACAAGTTCATAACCTTTCAGCTCGATACAAAACAAGCCACACAGAAGAAACCACGTACAGGATGTTCAAGTCGCTATTTGATGTATTTTCCTTTGACAATTCTAAAATGCCGATAGGATGCATATAAAATGGAGCGGCAAAGATGACTGGCACGTCTACGGCGTTGATTCTTGTATTCAAGATACTGTCACAGAACGAGGCTTTAAAGCGGGCTTGGTGCTTGCTACATCAGATTAACATCTTTTTAATAAAACACATCTATAAGCACATGACAGCCAGCAACTTTATAATTTTGACATCATCAATCGAGCATTTGTAAGAAAAACTATTTTGTGGTTACAGGTTGTACGTCCTAGTCTATCGGCAACGTGCTTAGTTATCATGAGCTCAATCGGCAGTTGTTGGAACATCGCCAAATAAATATTTGCATCTTGAGTGTATTCGCAAAACAGAAGCAACCTGCTTCGACGCCTTCCTGATCTAAACTGGTGAATATTGCTTGCAGCTATCAACGATAATTCCTCGCAAATCAATTATATCGTCGAATAATTGCAAGGACGTGTCGCTACTCTGGAATTACAGGCGGCTGAAATACACAGCTAATTATGAGCTTAAGGAGAATGGCTTTTATTGAAGGCCCGAAGGAGAAAGAGGTCGCGTTTTCTGTAGATCCCAACCGGTATACTGCTGTTGAATTCTGGACTGTGGGAAGGAAGAGATCGTCGGACTTTTTGCAAGGCCGGGGACTATATGCAATACAAACTCTTAAGCAAATCTTAGAGACTGAGCAGGATGGATTAATGCTTTGCATTTATCCTGCTTGACATTTTGAGCGAGCTGTCCTGTAACGGGGTTGCAATACAGTAATGGGTCAAACACGATGGTGTCACCGTACATAGGTGTGGATTACACAATTGAGTGTAAACACACAATGTTGTGGCCAAGAAGCCACTTCGCGGCGGGACTGCCAGTAGCTATTAAGTTTTACTATTTAATTAGGAAAACCTAAGGTTTTAAATATAGGCGGCTCTGCCGCACAAATGAATACAGTTTCAATTTTGGACGGTAGATTTTTTTTGCCTTAGTTTAGGTTTCGGGTAAGCGGATTGCGATCCGCTACACTCGTACTAGTTCGGAAAAGAACGTAAGGTCGGTGACACCTTAGTATGCTTCCTCTAAACAAAGACCTACGACAGCCCCGCTGCACCTGGTAGCACTTGTAGTCAATCTGTACCTGAGTCGTTACGACTGATCCACTGTGAAATGGAGCAAGTCTCCTATTTGCTCCAGGGCATGCAGGACGGGCTTAATAAGCTGATGTCCCTGCTTGACCCTGAGGGCGTGTAACACTTTGCTTCGCAAGGACCCGAACCATTAAAAACGCGCCAAGAGGCGTTTTCGAAATATGACGATGCTCTGCCAGAGCGCCCAAAGAAGACGATATCGGTCGACTGCGTCCATGACGCCATCGTCGACAACTAAAGACTCCTCCCGACCCAGGCCGCTCAGTGTACCTTCGAGGTTAAGGACGGAGAGAATCTCCTGCTTTAGGGAAGAGAGGCTGAGATGGCCATGATATCCGCCATGCTCCGGATCGAGCAAAAGTGACATTCCACTTCTGGAAGGAGCTGTAGCTGCGGCTTTTGCGAGTATTCTCACCGCCTAACATGGCATATCGCGTGTGATCGCGTTTCGTTGCTGCCCGCCATGGCAAGAAGAAATCAATAGACGTTATCCAAGAGTTGCGATCTCTCATTGCCGTGATGGCAGCTCATCATCTCCCCGAGGCGGTCACAGTGATTGTCTTTATGGAGGTCGCCCGCACTGGCGTGGTCAGAATGGAAGTCTTCCGTATGCTTCCGTCTTATTTTAAAGAAACGGTGAATGTGGCGTTGAATGCCGATATCAACTTTAAGTCAGCACGACGTTGTTGTT